CAGGGTCGGCCGAAAAGAAAAAGCAACCCTCAAACAAGCCCGAAAACAGCGAGGGCAGCGAAGAGACCTTTAAAGATGAACTATGACATTTGTACAGTAGATCTTGTACATTTTGATACTTTCTTTGAATGATATCGTGTTACCTCCGCCATTAACTGAGCCAGGAACATATTACTAGCCTACATATACATACCTCATACGTACTACAAAGACTACCTAGGTATACTCATTCTAAGGTTGGTGTATCGGTACACTTAGTACATATTTATACGCGTCCTAATTCTACATGTAGTCACCATTAGTGTAAGAAGACTTGCAAGATTAGAGACAAGTCAATCTAACTCTAATCTCATACAACTCCAGGGCTAATATGCCAATTAAGAAACAATTAAAACAATATACTGTCGGCCGTAGACGTCAGTCAGTTGCCGGCGCTTTGGATAGAAAAGTATATAATTCGCCGGAGAATTAAGGTAATGAAAATACGAGCAATAGCAAGAAAAGAAAAGAAATGTAACAGTGGAAGAATTCAGTTGGAGAGAATGTTAAAAACCACATAGAGCATAAGGCAACGTGACTGTAGACTCCCTATCGCCTTGGCCCACTTTCCCGCCCTCTCCCTCTCCCTAAACCAACCTCCGATTTCCCTTCTCTTTCCCCTCTCTCTCAATCCCTTGCGCCTAGACCTTTTATCTACCTCCGCGCGCATTCGACGTCTCATCTGCCTTCCGATTTACCCCTGCTCCGCGCACTAAGAAGCGCCAAGGCTGACCGAGCAACGGCCAGCGTCACCAATTACACCCGTTCTTCCCCCAACTACATCACTGCCAAATCTAGAGCTGGCACGTTGACAGGCTGCCATCTGCAGCGGACTGTCATAGTAATTGATTGGTGCCGTGGGATTGCGAGTTGTTTCCAATATGGGTTTCATCGGTGTCTACTCGGCTGTGTACGACTACCAGCCACAGGGAGCGGGTGAACTCGATATTCGCGAGGGCGACCTCCTCTACATCTTGGAGAAGAATGCAGAGGATGACTGGTGGAGGGCAAAAAAGAAGGCTGGGCGGGAGGATGAAGACGAACCTGAAGGCCTAGTCCCCAATAACTATGTCGAAGAGGTGAGTCTCCGCCGATGGAATGCACCCGCGCAGGCTTCGCTGCATGAACAATTGCTGATATTACATGAAATAGGCGCAACCATCGCACAAAGCTACAGCCCTCTTCGACTACACGCGACAGACTGACGAGGAGGTTTCTTTCTCAGAAGATGCCGAGCTGATGGTGTACGATACATCTGATCCGGATTGGACGTTGGTTGGAACCAACTCGGAGTATGGATTTGCGCCGTCGAATTACATCGAGATCATCGAGGATGCCTCCGCTGCAACGAATACCCCTCCTCCACCTTCTGTTCGAGCCGAGCCTGCCGCCCCGACGCTTCCGCAGCGGCCGACGCAGACTGCCCCGGAAGAAACCGAGACATCCCCCGCCGGCTCTCCGGTTGATATGTCTCATAATCCCGCTGCTGCTGCGATTGCCAGTATCATCCACAAGCAGCATGCCCCTGCGGAAACGCCCGCCGAGACGACGAGAGATGAGCCCCCGCCACCCAGTCTTCCGGTCCGGCCAAAATACGATCAAGCAGAGGATCGTGAGGAGTCTCCGCCGCCCAGTCTGCCCCGTCGACCACCTTCGGAACATGTGTCCCCGCCTATGAACAGTTATTCTCCTGACCCAACTCCGCCACCCCGTCCCCAACAGGCGGCGCCTGCTATGGGTCGTGATGGGACACATGTCAAAGAATCTCCCCCTTACAACCGGGCAGGTGAGATGACGCCTCGGTCGCCTTCCGGCTATCATATCTACAACATCAATGAGATGGTTGAAGTTATGGGCAAGAGAAAGAAGATGCCGACTACATTGGGAATCAACATGGCGACTGGAATCATCTTCATTTCACCGGAAGGTGACGATCGGCAGAAAGAATGGAGTGCGGAGAAGCTCACTCATTACTCGATCGAAGGAAAACATGTCTTTGTTGATCTTGTCAGGCCTAGCAAGAGCATCGATTTCCATGCAGGTGCCAAAGACACTGCCCACGAGATTGCAGCGGCACTCGGCGAGATTGCCGGTGCCTACCGTGCAGAAGGGCTGCGTGAGGTGATTGAGGCAGGAGAAGGCGGCGGTCCAAAGAAGGGCCAGATCCTGTATGACTTCATGGCGCAAGGCGATGATGAAGTTACAGTAGCTGTGGGTGACGAGGTCATCGTCCTTGATGATACCAAGTCCGAAGAGTGGTGGATGGTGCGGCGATTGAAGAACAACAAGGAGGGTGTTGTCCCTAGCAGCTATGTTGAAATCACAGGATTGATACCGAAAGCGCCGCCAATGCCTAGCGAACCAGGCCTGTCGACTGTGGAAAAGAACCGGATGGAGGAGATGCGGCTGTCCAAACTTGCGATAGGCAAGTCACGGACGGACTCAATGGATTCGTCGGACCGTCACAGCAAGCGAGACAGCAAAATCAAGTCGAAGCCTGACCCGACTAAAGTGCGAAAGTGGACGGATCGGACCAAGGACTTTACAGTGGAAGCCCAGTTCATAGGTCTCCAGGATGGTAAAATCCAGCTTCACAAGGTGAACGGTATCAAAATTGCCGTCCCTGTCTCGAAGATGTCTGTCGAAGATCTTGAGCATGTGGAGAAGGTTGCCGGCGTTTCGTTGGATGAGGACAAACCTCTTTCAAGTATCCGACCTCGAGTTGCTATTAACAAGGATCCCAAATCTGGGGCTTCGAAGGCCGGGGCTTCTGTACAACGTTCCAGCTATGATTGGTTTGACTTCTTCCTTAAGGCTGGTGTTGGGCCACATCGCTGTGAGCGATATGCACAGTCCTTCAACAAGGATTCTATGGACGAATCTGTGCTACCTGACATTACATCTGAAATCCTTCAAAATTTGGGTCTAAACCAGGGTGATACCTTGCGAGTGATGAAGGTTTTGGATGCCAAATTTGGCCGTATCCCGGACAAGTCCAAGCCTCGAAATGTCAGTTTCGGCGGTGAGGAAGTCATTGGAAACGGTGAGGACGGAGGGCAGGGTGGTCTGTTTTCCGGGCCTGGTGGTATGCTGCGCAACAACACTGGCAGGGGCAGACCAACACCAAACGTCAAAGCTGGGGAGGTTGATCCCAAAGCGTTCGGACAGGGAGATGAACCTAAATCGCCAGATAGCTCGACGAGCCCACCACCCCCTGCAGCAGCTGAAAAGCCTGCTGCAGCCGGATTTGAAGACGATGCTTGGGAGGTGAAGCAGCCGAAACAGTCTGCTGGGCCATCCGCAGCCACCCCAACCCCATCACCCGCGGCAGCTCAGGTTCCTCAGCCAACAGGGGCAATGGCGGATCTGACTTTGCTCCAAACCCCTTTGCAGCCGACCCCGGCTCAGCCTACTACGCAGCCTGCCCCGCCCATGTCTGCCCTACAGCCGCAGCCAACTGCCGTGCAATCACCAGCTGTACAACAGGCTCAGCAAATAGGCGCTACTCCCAGCTTGTTTGCGCAAGTGGCACAGATAGGGCAGCATCAACAAGGTTTCAGTCCTCAGCAGACTGGGTTCCAAGCACAGGCTAGGCAACGCCCTCAGGCCCCTCAGGCAGTTGGACAAAATTCACTTCTGCCTCCACCTCCGCCTCTGCAGCGCCCACTGTCCGCGCCTCAGAACTTCTCGCAACAGCAAAACTCTTTTGGTCCTCCTCCATTGCAGGCTCAACTGACGGGCCTTCCCCAGGCGGGTCCTCCTGTTGCTCCTCCTGGCCAGAGTCTGAGCGAACTAAACCAGCAACGTTACCAAGCTGCGATGCAGCCACAAGCGACAGGGTTTATGGGCCAAAACCAATTCCAGAATGGTTTGATGCCGCAGCCCACAGCGTTTACTCCCCAGTCGCAATTCGGTATCCAGCAGCAGCAGCAACAGCAACAGCCGTTTAGTGGCCAGATGGCCCCTCAACAAACTGGGTTCCAGGGACTTGGGCCGCAGCCCACAGGCTTTGGTGGATACGGACAATTCCAACAACCAATGCAGACTGGTATCAATTCTGTCCTTCCTCCTGCACTGCAACCACAACCCACTGGTGCCAATGGCTACGGCAACCAGTCCTACACCTCTCCGCCCCCTGTGCCGCCAATTCCGCAGCAACCAACAGCCACTCCTTTATCACCACAGAAGACCGGACCGCCTCCCTCCGTCAGATTTGGTGTCAAGCCAGATGGCCCCAAGAAGCTCGAGCCACAACCGACTGGACTCAGAGCCAACCTTTCCCAAGCTAGTAAGTGCTTTCTTACCGTCACAGATGATAGAAGTACCAAAAACTAACTCGATCAATAGCCCCAACTAATCCGTTCGGCTTCTAATCTACTTCTGTGTTCGCCCATACTGGACTGGCGTATATAAATCCGGTTTCCTGGCAATTCTCCCTATGTTGCCCTGAAATTTTTTGCTCATTCTGAGGCTGGGATGTTCCTTTCACATATCGCAGCTTGTCCTTTCGAACCAGTGCCCTTGGAATCGACACGTGTACATATCATGACCCTGGTCCCCGTTTTGACGCAGCGCGTATTGAAGCTCATGCCACGAATCCTCTTCCTCCTTTCCCCTTGCAAGACCTCCGCACTTAGCGAGCTATCCATATTCCTTTCCTGTGCTGTGACAGATCTGATTATGCCTCACATATCCTGCATTTTCCATTGTCTCTAGTTTATTGTCATATAAATCTGTCTATGGTGGATGCTTATTGTGTGAATGCCCTCTCTTTCTCCCTTTTATTTTGTCGTTACCTTTTTGCTCTTGTTCTCTTCCTTGTTACCAGCTCATACATAATTATTCATGGAGTCGTTAGCAACTAGCCTGGTCTACTTACTCCATGAAGTAAAGCTTTCTAGGCGCCGCTACCCATATCGAACTCTTACCTGTACAGTGATCCAACTCAGAAGGGGTCTGTTTTATTTACTATCCGGATATAAACACAGCCCGAATATAACCTGCAGCTGGGTCATGCAAGCTCCAGGAAACCCTAAAGCTAGGATATTTACATCGCTGGATATCAGGGGTTTCCGTACGCGATGGATGTGAAATACAGCCCTGAGCCAAGTCGCAAGTTCCCTCCATTCAAAGGCCCCAAAGTCAGTCTGATAATCCGTCAATGTGGCCTCGATACGGGCCAGCTGCTGTGGAGCTTCTGCAGTACCCAATGAAACTACCAGGCATGGCACGGCATAAGCAGCGCCAATCGGACGGTAGCGGGAAGCTAACGCAGCCTCGTTGATTATGCGCTCGCAAAAGAAGGTCGACTCGTCGAGCGTGGCATTATCTGAATTGAGTGTGCGGGGAATCGTGTTTAGAAGAAGTGCTAAAGCAATGACCGCAGTGTATGCTGCTCGACGGCGTGCTCGTCGATCAAGGGCTGGGGATGATGGGATGGCTGGTTCAGTGGGCTGGTCTAGATACGGGTAAAAGTTCTGTGCATCTTCCCGAAGCTTCATATACGCTGCGGTGATCCCAGGGAGATGAGAGTGTGGGTGGTGGAGGTATTCTGGGAACTTTGAAAGCGACAGTAGAGTCGTGGTTAATCGTGGTATACTATCTGGGGCTGGGGAGGAAAGGGATCTTTGCTGGATGAGGGACATCGTTCCAGAAACTCGGAGTCATTTGAAGTCGAGGGCTGCATATTCCGTCCAGAATCTGGTAGGATTAGTGAAGTAGGGAGGTTCATGTTTGGAAAGTGTCACATACCACCGGCACACTCAAAGTGACAATCAGATCTCTTTCGAATCCATTTTTATATCTGGAGATATCTACAATCCTGAGTGAATGTGCGATGACTATCCCATGCCTGGCTGATTGCTTTTCGTACTTCCCAAGCCAAGCCTAAAAGCACCGAGCTCAGCTTGAAGATCAAAGAAGCGTATACGGGATCATACCTGAAAGATTGAGATGAGATAAATAGCACAGAGTATGCGGCGATCAAACCTTAACTGGATTGTCCAGACATTCCCGCAACGCCCTCACGGATTTCCCAAAAAGCATCAACGCGTCACGGGGAAATTCTCTATCACGGATACGATGAAGAAAGGGATGTGAAGAGACCAAAGCCTGGGCGGCAGCATCCAATATAGCACTTTCTCCGAGTCGTCTGGGAAGAGCGTTAAGAAAGAGGCCATAAAATGAGATATCAAAGCGAATATCGCTGATATCGAGTCCTGATTAACCAATTGGCTAGTCGATTGCAAGGAGCTTGCGAAATGAAATTCGAATTCGATCGAATTCGAAGTGCCTTCCCTTCGGCTTTGGGTGTCAATTTGACATTCTTGAATTGATAACGCTGTTTCCCGCTTCCTTCACAGGGTACCTGCAGCCGGAGGCACCGTGAGCAGGGTTGTAGTTCGTCACGTTACGTTCATTAGCATTGATATTCAGCAATTATCCGATATAGGGCAATCACCTTCTTTTTCGCTTTTCGACAGGCTCCGCACTCTTTACTGGATGGGACCCCTAGCATACTGCACGTGAGATTATGGGCGCAAGGTGATGCTTGACCCCGGAAAAGGGAAAAAGAGACGAAATAATGAGAATCAACACCCTTGTAGATTCCGCAAAACAGTTGTGGTGCACGGAGTAGTATATGAACGTCTCCAGGCACAATCGGGACCCCACGGCCAGCGCACCATTTCCCCCTATTTAGTCAATGATAGACATATGCCAAGACTTCCCAATCACCTGTTTCCAAAGGATGCGTTCTCTCGAAATGGACTATGATTTGTTCATGTTTTTCACTGCGCGGAGTAATAACCACATTGAAAGGAACAAGGTGTCTCAGAAGACCTTGTGCAATAGACAGTGGGCTCTATTTCCTTGCCATTTTTGTGGGCTTTCTGACGTCGAACACGGCCAGTTTATGTGCCATCATGAGGAAAATTGAAGTTTCAGTAATCAAACGCCCACTGGAGTTGAAGCTCACATCTCCCGGCTCAAGAGCAGCTGGCTCGGAAAGGAACCGTCCGAGTTGGAAACTCCCGTCACTGTCGAATGACCTAGATATATGTTATTACAGTAAAGGTTGCAGATATATGTGAATGAGAATACTATGTATTGGTCGTTCATGATAATGAGAGTGACGGAGCTGATGGGACCTGCGAGGCTTAGCTTTTGTTAAACGGACCAGAATTTAAAAAGGAGTACCGTAGAGGCTTTGGTCAGCTAATGCAGCCACTCCTGTGTTCCTGACGAGAGAAGGTCGAGCAAGTTGCCAGGAATCTGATTCTCGGTCCTGGGGTTAGATTGACTCTTGTGTTTGTGAAAGTCCGCAGAACCAGTCAGACCTAGAATGGTCGTAAAGATCAAGTGGATGGTTGATATCATGGCAAGGACTCAAGGCTAGAGGTATAAAATAGTCAGAGAATCAAAGTTGATGTAAATGCCATCAAAGAAGAGAGGTACGGTAACATATAGATATATCATGGATATGCATACCTTTCCCAATTTGGTCATTTGGTGCGCTCGGAATCCTGACCAATGCCACGGCAGTAAATTCATAAAAATAAATCGATTCGCCCTTGGGGGCATATATATCAAGATATCTAATTATACGGATAAAGTTCGAGGGGAGTCATCGCATGATAAACATCCGCTTTCCATCATGTCTTTAGCTTTTGAAACAATCCGCTTACCGAGAAGCACTAGGTAATCACGGCTCATCACCCCAGATGCCAAAGACTGGAAGATCCTCAGCCATATACAGCAGACCATTATCCGGGAACATCACGTCAGAAAGCGGAGATGGGCCGGACACCGGGGGGCCGGAAGGAATAGTCCCGCCAGGAGAACACCCCACCGGGATTCCCGAGGTGGTTAACGCAGAAATTGCTGCATCGTAGGACAAACCTGCAGTGGGGTCTGAGCCATCGCACAGGGCTTCCCAAACATCGTTGTCTGTTGAAAGTTGGGGTTGAGGGGGTGGTTGGGAGGGGATGTAGGAGGATGGAGTTCTACCGGGAATTTTGTCGGGGGAGGTAGGGGATACCGCAGTTGCAGATGCAGATGAGTGAATATCACTTGGACCAGTGAAAGGTGGAGCTCCTGGGGAGTTGCGATCCTCATCACCACCTACTTGGCCGAAGAGCTGATCAACCTGTTTGCTGCGCCTATTCATCCATTGTCGATTGCGCCGGGAAACATATTCGGTTACAGCAGCACGGAGGTATTTGATAATCTGAAAGAAACGGCATGCGTGTGGATCGTGCGGGACAAATAGCCCTAGGAACCGTTCGGCTTTGTTGATTCCTTCTTCCAAGGGGAGGAGATTATCATAGTCGGCGAAGAATGCAGCGCCGAGAACAATGACAGAGTTAAAAACGGAGTTGATCAAGAAGGGTAGTCGACGTGGAAGGGAGGTATAGTGGCTGAGATCATCGACCACGTCTAGACCTCGGAGTGCGGAATAGACACATGCATCGGCAAACAAGGATATCCGGGAGCTACTGTTTCGATCGTCGGTCGATGAATCAGGTTTGCCCTTGACGTACTGGGCAACACAGTATATGAGGAATGGCCGCGTCAACAGGATAATCGACCAGTAATATGACCCGAATACATGAGCTGCGGCTAGGCTGTTTTCCATGGATTTGTTTTCGAGCCGCTCAGACTGCAATTTGAGGATAGTTGGAAGAGTACGAACCCAAGCCCGATGCTGGTTCGAGATCGTCTCTGCAGCATTGATCGATATGACTTGCTTCATGTACACATCGGTCAAGATTCGTTCGAATATTCGGCAAAGCGAAATCACCGCAGCAGAAAGCTGTTGATCTGCGGTCAAATGGTGTTGTGATTCCCCTGATATAATAGTATCTTCACGTATGTCATAGTCGTAGTCTGAAGTTGCGGGAGGGCGTCCCAGAGAGGCGCTGAGAAATAGATCCATCATCCGAAGACTCTTCCAAACCCGCTCTCTCGCTCGGCGCTCACGCCCGCAAAAGAGCGCATTTGCATCCTTGCGGTGGATTCCTACCGCATAGGCAGCACGTAGAGCAATCCCCAGATTCATAAATGCACCATTGCGCCTGCATGCGCCGAGCATATACATGGAAACCAAAATGTATGATTGAATGGTGGATATGCTTGGGGTCTCCTGAAAGGCCGAGAACGCCAATTGGCGACCGCTGCCAAAATATTGTTCAGCTACTGCCTGATCAATATCCGAAACCTGAGTCCCAATAGCAAGGACAAGATAGAAGATAGAGCTAACGGTATCTTCGTCACCCGATGGGTTTGCAACCCAATTAGCTAGCCGTGGGTGGAACTCTTCCAGATCAAATAAGTCAAGAAGCGGGCTTGTTGCAAGCACAAACTGCCGTGCTAGTCGTTGGGCTTCGTCGTTGCTTGGTGGCGTAGCTAGAGCCCCGGGCTGAGCACTTGGGTTGTTCTGAAAGGCCTCGAGCATTGAGTGTCGTGAGTTGTCCTCGGTAAACTCACATCGGCCAATGGAAGACCTAACAACGCGGCGCAGACTCTGTAAAAACGACAAACTCGCCGAATCGCCAATATACATAAACTTTCCCTGACCGTCGCGCAGAAGCCGCGCCACTTTCGGCACAGGAGCCGTACCTTCCTTCTCATCCTTTTCGTGGTGTTCCATATTCATTCCTTGGTCCTCGAGAGAGTTCAAAAGGCGGTCCATTGCCGTTTCCCGCTGCGGAGATGCTACCATGCGTTCACTGAGCAACATTGTCGAGTCCTTGACGTCTGGCTTGAGTAGGCGCGCGGGCCGATCCGAGAAATGGCATTCCGACTCCTTGTGTCTCTGCACACAGATTGTACAGGGCTGTTCACCGTTGCATTTCTGTTTTCGCCGTTTACAGCTGTCGCAGGCTCGTCGGCATCGGAGTCGTGCTCCCGGGGTAGTGCTGGCCCGAGGCATCCCGATCGCCGCGCTCGTTTAGTGAATAGGTCAGGTCACTTGTCTGGGGTTTTGGAGATATCCATAAGAGGCATGAGATATCTGAATCGACTGAGCGAGGAGACCTTTGCATTGATTCAAGTCATTGTGAGATCTAATATAAAATGCTAAAGACCCTCAAGTGCGGGCGTCTGCTTTCCCCGGACTCCATTATATGACTAAGCGGATTCATCGGCCCGTGGACCTGTGGACCTGCCAGGCACCCCCAGGGCTGTACAGGGATGAACTTCAATTCAAAAAGGATATCGCATTGCTATATTGATATGACAAGAGTACACGTGCTTCAAGTTCAAACTCTCCAGAAGATCATGACCGGAACGACACTATCTTGCCCCAGGTGTCGGCAGTGCCCCAGATGCCAGTCCGCAGGCATTCTAACTGCACAATCTGGCTGTGATCCACAAACAGGTTGACATCCATACCAAACTCACGGACGTACCAGCTAAAGACCTTGGGATCTGCCGCTTCAAACATGACACGCTCAGCAGGAAGCTCCTTCATGATCTTCGACACCACATCAGTCCGCCAGGCGGTGACGTTTTCAGTGATACCTTCTGACTCAATCATCAACCGCTTCACACCGGCATCGAGGAATCTACGACCCGAGTTCACCAATTTGCCAGGGTCGGAGGTTCCAATTGCTTCAAGTCCTGAGGCAGGTGTGTCTCCACCAGCTCCGAATTGAATCCCCAATTCAGGCTTTGGTTCCAACTTGTATGAGTGGACTTTATCAATAAGGCGGAGCCAGTCATCCTCTGGAATTGACAGAAAACCAGAAGATAGTTCAATCACGTCGAGTCTATGTTGACTAGTCAGATCTTACGTTCCAGGGTCCTGGTCCTCGAGCTAGGGGTGCACATACCCGAGATCCTTGCATTTTCTCAAGTAGCGGTCAAACACCGTATTCGGATCGGGGTGTGTGAGGAGATGCTCAGCCCATCCACCCTGAAACATGGAACATGGTGTCAAGAGTATACTTCCAAATGCGCTAATTTGCTGGTGCAGGACAGTCTTACCGTTGAGATGTACACGCCGTGCTCGTGAGCGAGATCTACCAATTCCCGCAGTGGTTTCTCATGAAAGAGAGAAAAGGCTCCTGGCTTTGTCTCAGCGCTCTCGTTTCTGGCGAGAACCGAAGCCCTGTTGGGACTCACCTCCGGCAAATTTGAGACCATCTATATGGTCACCCATCCTATCAGCTGTTGTCAGATGCTATTTGGTTAAGTGCTTGGAACATTTCGGAATATTACGTCTCTAGGATATCTGCTAGATATCTTTTGCCCATGACCTGGTTTAGGTTAGCTCCACGGAACACGATGATAGAAGTATATGGCACCTACCGAATAGTATGGGCCACGGATCTCAGTGACACCCTTCGTTCTGGGTTTGGCAGGCCTTGGGTTTGACCGCGCGAAGCCAAATCCATTTTGTTTGTCTTGCAGAAGAGTGATTCCTTGATATATGTTCGGGGTGACAGAAAAGTGTCTGGATGGTGTCGACAAAGCAGTGGCCACTGAGGTGCGGCTCATTGCACGCCCGCCGATTGTAAGTGGTTTAACAAATGGCATATTCAGGTGTTGCTGCACCAGATTTTGAGTCGAGCCCAGTATTCATCCAAATTATGTATCTTGAAGGGGTTGACGTCAAACATACTTCATCGAATGAATCTCAGCGATATTACGTAGGGGAGAATATTACATCACTTTATAAGTAGACCTCGGGATACATGTATGTATAATAGTATTGTACTACGTATTGGAACTATAGGAGACCTAGGAAGGAAAGAGATATGTATGCATACTACATACGTATGTAGTACATAGTATATCAATGATGGTACATAATATATAGTACTATGCTATACTATACTAAATACACTAAGACAACTAGCGCCTCGAATACATTTGGTAGGCGTTTCAGGGATCGGCAAGAGGAGGGCCTAAGTTATGTCCTTTGTATCTTTTTATAGAAAGGTCCTTTAGGACTATACACGTACTATGTACTAGGCATCACAGATTATGTCTTGGCTTCGATATTTGCGAATGCGGCAAGAGATCACATGTGTGTCTATATATTTTTATGATACATATATAGACTTACATATGTATACATGTCAATGTCAAGCATCTCGAAGTACGGTGTATGTCGTATCCAGCCATGCCACCCGCCAAGAACAAAGCTAGCCTTATGGACTCAGCTTTGACATATTGGCAGTTCGATATACAGAATATGCCCCAAAAACAAAATGAAAAGATATGCACCTGGGCAGTCGAGTCTGGTGACTCCCGCCCTTGCTGCCCTCCAGGGCTGGCACCTGCCTTGGGCATTTCTCTATTCTGAACACAACCAGATGGCCTTGAACATCCCCCTCTGTTATCTCGATATTCAAATCCCCTCATTCTTAAAGTACTTGTTTATGTATTGCCAGGGCCGCTTTTTCTTCCCTTTTCCCTCTGAGAAACGCCAGTACCGAGGTACTGGTTCCTTTGTCTGATACCCATCATGGGAACTGGAACGGTCATAGAGCCTCTTGTGGTTATTGTTCTCTTGTTTGGAGGCACCTGGATTAACCGCTCTGTCGGATCATCCTCGACTCGGCGCCACAGCCGGCGGAACTCGAACGACCTTCGACGAGCCGCTTCATTTGATTCTTTGGAGTCCGGATACTCAAGTCAGTCGACCAAGGATGGCTTACTGGGCTCTCGTTCCCACTCACCACAAGCCCCGGAAGATGGATGGCACAAGCGACAAGTTGGACTCCTAGGATTGAATTTTGAGGTGTCATCGCCGAATACTATTGTGTTCCAAGACCGCTTTCTCAGTCGGTTGCTCAGGAAGTTTCCTTTCTTGGTGGAATGTTGGTATTGGGCTTTGGTTTACTGGGTACGTTGATTTTCTGCTTGCTTCATTATCATCTTGGCCAAGTCGATAGCTCACAATTTGTGCAGACGTACCAGCTCGGCCGGGCCTTTACCGCTGTGACCCTCAAGGATGGCACCGTCGATGTTGCAAGGAGGCATGCATTGCAACTAATCGTGATTGAGGAGAATCTGGGTATGTTCTGGGAGACCTTGATTCAAAGACGCTTTCTTCGCCAACCCCTGGTCATGCCTTGGATCAATTGGATATACTCCTTCATACACATTCCCGGGACAATCGCGTTTCTTGTCTGGCTCTACTACTATACTACCGTGCGGAATCGGATCGATGAGGCTCAGCCCGGAAAGCCCAAGGGTGCTGTGAGCGGGTCGCCTGCAGGCCCTCTTCTATACCAGGCGCGCCGGCGGACTTTGGCCGTGTGCAATCTTCTCGCTTTTGTAGTTTTCACACTCTGGCCTTGCATGCCACCGCGGTTACTGAGCGACACAGCCCCGGAGGGTGAAAAGGCGGATCTAGCCCGCAGTTATGGGTTCGTGGACACGGTGCATGGTGTCAATGGATCAGGCAGTGTCTGGACGGAAAACCGCTTCTGTAATCAATATGGCAAGTGTTGTCTGACCCGAGTCTTCTCCGTGGATCCTTGACTAACTCCTGCCAGCGGCAATGCCTTCCTTGCATTTCGGCTACTCTCTAATGATCGGCCTCACACTGATAACGATCCCTTTGCCACAGCACCACCGGCGCACAACCCTTCGTACTCGGCTGACCCGTGCCCTAAGACTGAACCTCCTGTCATGGCGCCGCATTGTTTGCGTCATACTCGGCTTCCTATATCCGTTTACCATCCTTGTGGCCATTGTTGCCACAGCTAACCATTTTATTCTGGATGCTGTTGCGGGAGCTCTCGTATGTGCCTTGGGGTGGTATTTTAATAGCATGCTGCTCAATCTGCTGCCACTGGAGGACTACTTCCTTTGCCTCGTCCGGATCCATAAGCCGGAACCGTCACTTCTCGGCCCAGAAGAGGATTTCTCCAGTGAAAGTGCTTCAGAACATGCTGGCATCTGAGTCCACTCAGGGTATGGCATTTCATAGTTGATTCGACCTTGGATTCAGTGTCTTTGTTTTAGAAACTTGATACCCTGCATGAAACCCCATCAGACCAGGCGTCTGGCTTATAATCTGTGTATATGGGCCTACTTATTGTTAGCCAGTTCTCTCTGTGGGATTGACCAGCGTTCAACTCTTGTACCTAAGTACCGATCAATATGTTTAAACAAGGAACATTCTTTGTTTGACAGAAGGGCCTGGAAGACCAGCATTTGGGTCAAAATAGTTCCTTTGTATATAGTATGACTATCACCGTACATACAAAGACAGCCTGAGCATTACGACGCAAACTTCGTGTAATGTCTCTTTCAGATCCAAACTATAAATACCTGGAAAAACCATCGGATTAGAAAAGGGCATCAAATCGCATCATATCTTGGTGGGGTTCACTTTACAGGTATAGAAGTTTAGATGCGTTTAGGAACAAGAAATCAACTTGGACTTATTTCATATTTGTCCCTCGCATTCGCCCCCCTCGTTCAAATCAACAGCCATCCAATACTTATTATAGCATGCTCGATCATGTATTACATGGTCGCCGTCGACACGGGCACGCCGCGATTTAATAACGCGAGGATCACGTCGAGGTACAGAGTCGCAAGCTCCCAGGATGACCCTGGATGACCACGATCTGCTCACAGTTAGGTGATATTACACATCACTTTTCAGACGCATTACCCACTCAGCACCGGTTGGCCTACCTCGATCTATATTGTGACTCTATCGCTTTAGCGAATTGCGGCTGCTTGCGAAGAGCTACTTGCGACTGAACACTAACGTGATTGCATCGGTACTCGACGCGCATACACAAGCCCTGGCCCAGACAGTTGTGGGTATAACAAAAAGGAACACGTCACTTTCCTTGGAATTGTGGCCAGGCTAGTTTGAATCGATGAATTTGCAGTTCGAAGGAAACTAACCTGAAGGAACAGGTCCATCCGCATGTGCCCATGCCCCGAATATCTATACAAGACGTCTCTTGGCACTTCATAGTGTGTGCTATTATATGCCCATCGACCTGGAATAGAGACAAGATATTCTTCAAGGAAAACACTCTCTTATGTCAGTCGCCAATTGTTGTTCTTGCGCCGTGTTGTCCAGATATACGGTGATTGTGAAGGCATACAGCAAACGAGACGTTTGTTGACTCTTTCAGCTGCTGTGTGTTATACGGAATCAATCCGCCGGGGCATCGGAGGAGGACACAAAGAATTACGGTCGTTCCTTCGCTTTACATCAAAATATCAGCCTGTCCACGATCTCTGACAGGCAATCCCACAACCCCATCAGACGTCACTCCTCACTTGTCGCCTCCCCTTCATACCTCTTAGGAGTTGACAATTGACACTCCGTATTCGCATTTTGAATACATGTTGCAGCTGTGAAGCGCCTATTTTCTGTTGATAGACTTGAAGAGGTAACTATTCAGAGATATCTCTACCCCTATGCGCATTGTGCGACACTCGTCCATTGTCCAAAAACCATCCCCAAGGTTGTTCAACTCTGAAAAGCGAAAGCTATTGATAACCTTGGAAAGCTCCTCTCATTCACCGCGTTATTGTTGTGTGGTGACTTAAAAAGTTGTGGTGTCATTGGGGTCTTCCGTTCTCAGACGCGTCTTGAAGTTCCCGCGCCTTTCGCGACTCTCTTCTTCTCCACATCTCCTACCCTCCCCTGGAAGCTCCTCCCACCACCTACCCCCAGTTCTGATCTACCCAATCGCCTAGTGACTTTTAACTTATCTCATCCCAGCTTGCCATTATGGCTGACGAAACCCCTGTCTCTGCGCCCGAGGGCGATCAGCCTGAGCGCACTACTGAGCAACCCACCGACTCCGAGAAGAAGTCTGAGGATGTGACTATGTCGGAAGACAAGCCTGCCGGTAAGCATCGACTGATTGATACCAATTCATCGTTTTGCGCCTCCATTTCTCAACGCTGTCCCCCGGTAGGGACATCCCATTTCTGTGCGACACCACTAACCCACTGTTCCTTCCAGAGACTGAAGCTGCGACCGACAAGAAGACGGACGCTGAAGCCGAGGCTGATAAGCCTGCTTCCTCCGATGAGGTTCCTGAGGCTAAGGCCGATGGCGAAGCCGCCGAAGCTGCACCTACCGATGCAGAGGCCGCTGCGCCCGCGGAGGCCAACGGAACCCCTGCCTCGGCGAAGAAGTCCTCCAAGAATCGCCGCACCTCTACCGGTGCTACTCAGAAGCTGAGCCGCAAGAAGTCTCAGAGTCGCATCACTCACCTGGATGCTAAGCCCGGTCAAACATATCTCGCCCGCCTTCGCAGTTATGCGCCCTGGCCTGCTATCATCTGTGACGAGAGCATTCTGCCTCCCAGCCTGCTTGAAACTCGTCCCGTTACTGCCATGCAAAAGGATGGATCCTACAAAGGCGAGTATGCCGACGGTGGCAGACGCGCCCATGAGCGTACCTTCCCCGTCATGTTCTTTGATACCAATGAATTGTGAGTCGACCATCCGCACAGCCTCTAGACCAGACGCGAACTTCCTTCTGACTACTTTTGATAGCGCCTGGGTTCCCAACACCAACCTGACTCCTCTTGACCCTG